TGTCAACTTTCCCTGAGTGTGCACATCCCTGCTTTAATTTTTCCATCTCCTTCAGTGACACATTTGGCTAACTGGGGTTACAGGAAATAGAGGACATTTTCAATATAATTAATAGGAGTCAGAGAAAAAGGCACAATGTCAGCTAATGTGGGACTGGATATTAGTTTAGAATAATCAAAGTTGTACTGTCTTGATGGCTGCACCTTAACGGGACCTGCTTAATGCTGGTCAAACTAAAAAGACACTCTTTACGAGGCTAGAATCTTGCTAAACTGATGGATAATGAATAAGGCCACATACCAAACTATCTGCCTTTTATTCTAATAAAATAAAGAAATCAGCAAATCAGCAAATCGGCATAAGTGATTCCTTATAAAGACAGCTCCTCAGGAAAGAAAACTATTATCCTACTGCTTTGCAGAAGTGTTTTCCATTAGGAGACATACATTATTAATGACCCTATTCTAAGGCTATCACCACCAATTATTCACCCAAGAATTCTTCCCCACATTTATTTCACTGAGTTCAGTTCAAGTGTGTGACTCACCAAACTCATTTGTTTCCTTGTAGAAATGGAAGCAGTAGTGCTTTTGCCACCTTTACTCCTTTTAAATAAATCTTTCAAATATCCAGGTTGTAGCCGTATTGGTCTAGAGGCAAAAGGAATCAGAACTCATGGTAGAGGTGATCTCTTTTATTAGACCAACTAGGTTTTTGCAAAGAATTTTTTTTGAAAAATTCTAGCTGGTCTAATAATAAAAGATATCACTGGAACCACAAGTTCTGATTTCTTTTAAATATGTTATTTGTACTGTGTTTAGAAGGAAGGATTTGACTTTTGAGTGTGTATGTAATTCTTATCTCCTCTGCCTCAGGTCGTGCTGAAAAACATGTAGATCCCTGACGGTGGGATGTTGGAGGTGGGATAGACCCAAGAGTTTAGATCTTAGAGCCTGGGCCTATCCTGCCCTGGATCTTAATAGGCTAGACTGGATATTAGCCCAGGGCTGCTCCGGAAAAGAGATCCCTCATGGGACGGCTACTCCAAAACTGCAGACCCTGGGAGCCTGAGACTTCTGACCTTCCACTTTCTTACCAGGATCCTAAAACACCAGGAGCCCTTGCCGCTAATATATGACTCTATTTATGGCTAGCCAGAGCTTCCAGGCTGCCAGCTTTGTGTCATAAAACACAGATCACCTGTCCTGAGAGCACTGGGGTCTCCAGGTTCCCTGACAAGGAGCCTCAAAGCTCTGAGAGTCTGTTTCTCAGTGTTCTCAGACCTTCCAGACTCATGTGACCCAGGAACTTGGATCTTGAGACCTTAGTTAAAGCATGGTCTTTCAAGCCTGCCAGGCTCCCTGCTGCAAAACCATGACTCAAGAGATTTTGTGAAGATACTCTAGAACACACCAATCTGAATTTTCCCAGTGAACTTGTTCTGAAGTGGAGCCAGACAGAGAGAGAGAGAGAGACTTATGTTTCAGATATCTGCTGCCCTGGCTTCTGAGGTCATTCTCGAGCCATTTTAACAGAAATCTTCTTCAAAAGCTCAGTTGAGGGACACCTAGTATGGAGAGTTTCATTCAAAATGGTTAATGTTATAAGCCATTATGTAAGGAAAAGTGTAGGGTAAATTTAGCTAGAGGTCTTGGGACCTGCTCTGCCTGTCTGAGAAATCCAGCAAACTGCAGCTATGTTTTTTTTTCTGTAACTAAATCAGTTTTTCTGTATGTGTTTGTGCGAATCTCTTTGTCTCAGACAGAATTAATGTAGTGGGCTGATGGATGGCATTGCTACACAGGCATACCTGAAAATAAGGCAAAAACAGATGCCTGTTTAGCTATTGGAGGTATTTTAATGTATGCAATCAAATGCTTAGTAATCTTTGTATTCCTTGCAGCCATTTCTAATAAGTGATTTCTGGATTTGTCACAACACAGCAGGAGGAGGGTGATTATGTGGAAGCCATTATTTTCCTTGCTCCCATTGTTTTTCCTTTAGTTCCACCATGCTACAGAATTCATGAAAAAGTCTGGGTTAAATGTAACACAGTCAGATGAGTTCAGTTATACACAGGCTCCTTTAGCTCAGAGTTGAAGGATTTGGGAGCTTGGAGCTTGGTGGATTCAGATTCATTCTCTCAATTAATTCCACATGTACTGATGCTGACCTATGATATGGACAGTGTCTTTACTCAGATCACTGTCCCTTATGAAGGACTTCATGTATCTTAAGATGTAGAGCAACACTTTTTTATCCCATTGCACCAGACAGCTACTGCCATTTTTATGCACAGCATTGTTAAAATGTCCAGCAAAAACCAGCATGTTACTCCTTCAAATTCTCATTATGATAAAGCATTTTTAATGCCATGGTCAGGAGCTCAGGTGTGTAGGTATGCCAAGTGCCAGAAAACTGTGTGTGTGTGTGTGTGTGCGCGTGCGCATGCATGTGTGTGCATGCATATGTGCATGTGTGTGTGTGCACACATACCACGCGTGTATGGGTGGCATGCTAAGCTGCTTCTGCCGATGCTGTGGCCTCCTGCACTGCAGCAGCTGCTACCACTATGCAAGATGCCCTTCTAAATCGGTGCTCTTCACCCTTCCCCCCAACACAGTTATGTTAGTGGAAAACAACAATAAATTCTGGAGTTATTTTTCTCCTAGTCCTCTGTGTCTTTCATACTTCAAGCTTTGCAGGGCAGGGACTCTATCTTTGTGATTTGCACAATGAAAAAAACACTGCCAGTGCCTAACAGATAATGTTGGCTCATTGCTTCAAGCTCATGAAAAGAAGTGGAATTTTTCAGCACACAGAGATGTATTTTCCTAATTTTTTTTCACCAGGATAATAATTAGTGTCATGTCAGCTGCTTGTAATGTCAAGGAATGGGGAAAGGGACTGTCTTTGTGTTTGTGTTTGTGCATGTGTACTTTTCTTTTCCACTGGTACTTACGTTAATTTGTTTTGATTGCTGGTCATTAGCATTCCCCTTTTGGGAAAAACCTTTGTTAACTATATCTGTATTGTAGATTTGTTGAGCGTTTGCTAACATGTTAGAAGAGTGGTTTCCTTGGTACTCTTTCTCTGTTCTCATGGGTGTGGTTGCATAATAGGGATTGTTATCTGGTCTTCATTTAATTACAGAATATTACTTCATATTAAATTAGAAGGTTAATACTCCTCAAAGAGCCTGTGGGATTTTTTGTACTTTGTATGTGTTGTAAGTCTTTTTGCATGAGATACCCTCATGTTCTTCAAGAGAGATTTAGAAAGCTGAGTCATCTGATGGGCAGCATGGAAGAAAGATGGGGTGCCCTTGTAGGATGGAATTTCTTGACAGAATAGGGAGTGCAGGGTACTGAGTTTGGGGTTGCCTGATGTTATGGGTGGCACGGCTTTGAGGCATGGAGCGTATACTGTACTCAGGTCTACAAGTACCTCAACTACTGTTTGCCGAGCGATGTGCTGGAGACTTGTGGTAATGGTTTGGCGTCTGTTCAATAACTTTGCAGCGCAGTGCCCTGCCTGTCTTGCAAGACCCTGTAACTGCCAGCCTGGCAGAAAGAAAATAAGGATAGCATCTAGTGTCCAAAGAGTTGCCCTTTCTATCCTCTTCCTTTCTTTCATCCCCTATCTCCTCCTAGTGCTATTCAACAGGACAGAGACTCTGTCTAGCTTTGGATGGCTGAGTCCTTGCTCTTAGTTTTCTGGTTCCTGCTTATTGATTCCCAGTCATTCTGCTTCCCCTCATGATGGCCACTGAGGTGTGAACAAGGGGAATGTGAGAAAACAACTGAGAGAGAAGTGCTGTTCTGACTAATTTCCCCTGCACACCAGACCTGTGTCGGGGAGGAATTAGTGCTGCAGCATTTAGTACAACACTTTGTCCTGGGATAAAATAGTTTGTCTCCAGACAAAAGTGATGTTTGCTTGTAGCCACAGACTTCCAGTCAGCCAACAGGCCTGGTAGCAGAAGGCTGCCTAATGTCCTATTCCTATCACAGTAACAGTGGATGCAATGGTAGTAGTGTGTGAAAGAGTCAAATAATTGAGATGACACAAGGTCAAAGATCTTGAGGACACTTGTCATGGGAAAGAAAAGGTTGAATGAGGAATGAGCAGCTCCATCTTCTCCCCTCTGTGCCAGGGACTGGAAAAAGAATATTGAGGGCTGAAAAAATCCAAATTACCCTCCAAAATTACTGTAGAAGGTAGAGTCATTAAAGTATTTTAGGAAGTGTGCAGGTGAAAGACAAAATCTCTGGAAACCACATACAGGCCAGGAACAAATGTATTTGTCCTGGAACTGAAATGTCTCGAGATTGGCAGGTACAAACATTACCTGTCAGCTGTAAGCTGCTGAATGCATTATCTTTTTTCTGCAGTTGATTCAATGATGCTATCCTGGGCCAACTGTTCAGACACACTTCAAGATGGTCATGGAAAACTGCATGACTGCACTTTGTCCTGGGATAAGATGCTATATCCTGGGACAAATATGATGTCTGTTTGTTGCCACAGACTTCCAGACAGTCAACAGGCCTGGTAGCAAGAGGCTGCCTAATGTCCTGGAATAGTTCAAATTCCTAGTTAACCAGTCTTGTCCCAGTGATACTCTCCCTATGTAACAAATTATGGTCATTATCATTTACATAGCACATGTAGCAGAGGTGCAGAGTTTTGCAGCCAACTCTTCTAGGTTTACACAATATATAGATTACCTATGTTCTGCCCTTAACAAATCCTCTGTGACTAATATGGATAGTAAATGATTAATAAAATTCTATAATGAAAGAAAATGATATAATTTATTTCATTGATTGGCTAATGGAATAGCATAAAAGTACTGAGTATTCCCAATGTCCCTGCTTAACCTTATTTTTAATACTGTTTGTAGGAGCTCTCAAACCTCCTGAATTATAAATTTAGGGCAACAGGGCAAGGGTCTCAAAATAATAGTGGATCAGCTGAAGCTGAGGGAAAGTGGGGCTGGTCAAGGAAAAGATAAACCCTCAGTCAAGATGGCTCAGAGACAGCTGGGTTAATGTTAAGTCTTATGGGAACAGTAAATATTGCTCAGTCCTCTCCCAAAGAGACAGGCAGATTGTTAGTAAAACAACAAACTTCCTCCACCCCTAAAAAAGAGACAAAGAAATGGTTAAGTGAAATCAGGATTTTTTTCCCTTTCTTTTAAAGCAATGAGATTTTCACTGTACTTTCTGCCCAGGAAGATGGTGTCTCTTGCTTTAGCTACCTTGGCTTTTCATGCTTGTAATCATCTCGTGCACCTTCTTGTTAAGGGCTCCTCCATGGATTCCCTTTTTACCCATGAGGAAGACTAAGGCTTTGGGGGTCTTGCCAATACAGATGGACATGCTGTCCCCCCCTTTGGTTCTGGCATCCATCACAGCATCTTTGTCCACCAACAGGTTGTCACGGATCACACTGCACTTCTTGCCAGCTATTGTAATCCCAGTCTGCAGGAATGTTTTCCTGTCCTGACCTGTGATCACCCCCACTTCCTGAGGTGAGATGGCAGCAAGCACACCTCCTGGCTTGGAAGCCCACACAGACTTGTTGTCTGAATGCCCCACAATAGCTACATCTTCAATGTTCTTGTCCTTGAGGATGGTGTTGATGTAGCTCTTCCAGTCACCCATCCTGTCAGAATGCCTCTGAAATGATCTCAGCCAAGTATTGGACCTTTCTTTTGTCTTCTGGTCTCTGGGACCTGAGTTCTTTCAAGCTAAGCCTGGAGATCCTGAGCTACAGAGGATCCTGGAGAGTTTACACTGAGGAACTAGAAGGATACAACAGATGCTACTCTTGCTTTACCAGTCAAAGACATCTGTCCCTGTGACGCAGCTGTCATCTGTATGCTTAAACAGTTGCTAGGAGTCTCTTTGTGATGTCAGAAGCATCTATCATCATGGCCTATAGTGTGTATTATGATGTCATATGTCTTAAAAGTAAAAGTAGTTTTTATTCTCTGGATGTCTAAAGATGTTGTTTGCACTTCTCTCCTACCAGACAGGGATATTCCTATGACCCTCTTTTTCTTTTTAATTAGTGCCTTCAAATAAAATGAAAATTCCTCGATGGTATCTCACAGGACTTGGTGCTGTAAAGGCTGAAAGTAAAAGCATACAGATGTACAGATATAGTAACATAAGATTAAAATGAGGAAGTGCTGTGTCCTGTAGTTGAAGGTGTTAAAAAAATCTTTCAATGTGTATTGGATCTGATTTTGCCCATTGGAGAATTCAAGGGGAGGACTCCATACTCAGAGGCAGAATTCCTCAGACACAAAACTGTCCAACCACCCCCAAGGCCTTTCTGGCCCTCTTTCTATGTCCTGGTCTAGAGACATAATCTCTCGATCTGGAATATCAGAAAAGAGAACAGGACATGCAACATGGTTTACTTATACTTTACAGCTAAAATATACTTTGTTTTTCACAGCACCCTGTAGGTTTTGGGGTGGGCAATGAAAAACCTACAGGATTTGGGGCAGAAACTCATTAACATAAGTTTGCTGTGGCTTCAGGTGGTAACTGAAGTAGAATTGAGCCAAATCAGCTCCTTAATCTGAACATTTCTGAATTTTGGTTCTGAATCTCAACCTAATCCAGATTTCATTTATAGAGTCCAAATCAAGTAAATGTGGATCAGTTTTAAAATCTTACTTATAATTCAATCAAATTCCCATTATGGAAACATGACCTCCCACATACTTTGTATCAGGAGTCAGGGCAACAGGCAGGAAAAATTACTCCCAGCTGGCCCTAGTTACCTTAGTGGGGCTGGCAGCCAGTGGGCTAACTACGTTCAGCTGGTCCCACTGCCCTGCATGATTGTAGCTCCCAGTTTCCAAGCAGCAAGTTTTTCTGCTCAGCAAGTTAATCAACAGGACAGATATTCTGTTTAGCTTTGGATGACTGAGTCCTTGTTCTTTGTTTTCTGGTTCCTGCTAGTTGATTCCTCTGGTTCGTGGTTCTTGACTTTGCAGTTGCCCATGTCCTAGTCTTTTACAGCTGGCTGCTGCTGACCACTTGGCAAACACCTCTGGTTCAGATCTGGCTTCACCTTTTTGGCTCTAGCTAGGTGGCGACTTATATCAAACCTTGGCATCCTGATCTTCTTGCTCCTGATCCCCTGGACTTTGAACCTTTTCTGTTCCTGACATTGTCTGCTTCTGATCAGCTGGATTGTGACACTCTTAGGGTCAAGCCTTTTGTGTCCACATTGAGGTTGTACCCCTGATATCATGTCTGAGCCAGTCAAACTTTCTCAGTTCCCTCATGTAGTGGCAATACCATCTGAGCACTTACATAGCAGTGCCACATTCATACCAATTTTAATATGTCCATCAAAGTATATTTGATTATCCTTGGAAAAAATACATAAATGATATCAGTGTTGTGAATTCATAAGTGATAATTCTTATTTAACGTCTTGAAGAAACCATTTATGAGGATTTAGGAACAATTTGTAAAATCTTCAGTTCTGGCCTTTTTCTTCTGTTTGCCATATATTTTCAGGTGGGAATAGTTTAACCTCTTCCAGGTAAAAATTGATTTTTGTGGGTGCATGTGTGATGGGAAGGATTTTTGATGTGTTCTGTGCCTCAGGATAGAACTTCACTGGAACCTCCTCGACGCTCATTGTTTTTGAAGAGAAGACAGTTGTTCTAAGCACCTCAGAAAGTTTAAGTGCCTGAATTCACATTTCCATTAAAAACAAACCAACCTACCAAAATTCTCGAGATGCTTAGAACTAAAAACAATTACATATAAAAGGCATAACATGTTCAGTATTTTCTAGTCCATACTTTTTTTTACTGATGCTGCTTCTTGAGCTGAAATTTTGATTGAGCTCTGCAAAGTAATGCTCACTTCTTTTTCCTAAACATTTACAATAAGAAATTATCTCCATGAATCATGCAGATAATTCCTTTCAATATGCATTATCCTAAATTTGTTAACAATAAATTTAATCTGCTATCACTAGCTTGTTTGGGCCCCTCTGAAGTTTTGCACAAAACTCATAATTAATCTGATTTCCCCACCCCCTCATAAACATTAGTTTAGATTAATTTAGTGAATGACGGTCCTAATAAAATATATGTTAATAATCATGTATAGGATTATGCGACCCACTATTCATATTTTGTCAGGTTGAAAATTGAGAATTGATATTCATGCTCTTGTTTTCTGTCTCCTGGCCAGCATTCTTTGTTTCTCCCATCCCATCTAATGGCTTTTTAAAAGGCCTTTGCCAAAGGCTTTTGGATAGTCCAAACAAATTGTCAGCATTTTTTTTGCTTGTCTATGATATGCCATGAACAAGAGTTCAGCAGGGGAGGTATACATGCCTGTCTGTCAAGTGGCTTACGGAGAGAAGTATCAGCTGTGGTAGATGCACAGACTACATTTCTGTTAGAAGCCTGGTCATATAACTGAATCACTATACTGACCATATTTCTGGATATTGACTTGTGGATCTGATTACTGAGGCAATGCATACAGTCCTGAGGCAGGGGCTTGCTGGGCAATGAAAGTACAATGTGAGCAAATAAAGTGTCACGTGGTAACAGAAGCATTCAATAGCAAAATAGGATCATAGGAAAGTAGAGCTAGAAGGGACCTCACTCATTGCTCAAGGTAGGATCCTTCTTCACTAAACCATCCCAGCCAAGTGTCTGTCCAACCTGTTCATCAAAACTTCCAAGGATGGTGATTCTACAGTTTCTCTAAGTAGCCTGTTCCAATGGCTCCCCAACCTGTTTTGACCGCTCTCATGGTCAGAAAGTTCCTTCTAATCTCCAGCCTAATTTCCTTTTTCTGCGTTTTGAGGTTTGTGACAGGCATGGAGCCACAAGGAAAGACTTATCTCGACCAGGTGAGGAGCAGAGCCGGCGGAATGCCGTGCTGGAACAGAAGCACGGTGAAAGTGAAACTGCAGCAGGGAAAAACACCGCACTAAAAGAAAAAGAGAGAAGGGAACAGCGGAGCTGGGAGGAGCCAGGGCCAGCTCCCACATTGGTGTGGGCATGCTTTATGGCAGCATGCTGGTGCCAATTTGCCGGCCGGCCCCCTGGGACTGGGATAAAAGGCCCAGCGGAAGAGCAGCTCGGGGGATGGGAAGTGAGTTCCCCAACGGGCCCAGAATGGCCTGGAGCAGAACAGAGCCCCACTGAAGGGACATGGTGGTTGCCCCAGGAAGGGGCCTTCAAAGATAAACAGAGCCATACAAGGGTCAGTGACTTACCTGAAGAAACACCGTGGACTCCAAATATCTCCCACCCAGATTGGATCCAGACGAGACCTGAAGGGACAAGGAGAGATGGACATCTTAGCCGTGGTAAGTATAGAGCCGAGAGAGAGAGAGAGATGCTGGGGAGCAAGGTAACCCGGGGTCAGAAAGACACTTAGGTGGGACCAAATACAGTCGGGGGGAAATTCAGATGAGATAACATCCAAATCCAACTGGCATAAATTCAGAAGGCCAGAACACCAGAGTCTATACTGTAACAGAACTAGCAAACCCGAAACAACATCTTTGGTTGGCATTAGGTGGGGTGTAGGGGAGGCGGAGCCCCAAGCAGGAAGAACATTTGAGAAGACTGAAGGAAGGCACCAGGAAAGGCGGGACAAACTATCTTCCTCCCAATTAAAATAATTCATTCTAGCAAGACATGGCAGACGAGACCCCCTGGGGAACCTTCCAAGATCTGACCCAGTAACAAACTGTCTCTTCCTCAAGCAACGGTGAAACCAGAAAAACCCATACAGACAAGACGCATGGGTGAACGGCACAGGAGACTACAAGGTTGTTGCTTCTAGTCATGTCTCCTAGAAAACAGAAAGTTTGGAAAAATTGTCTTTGCTAATGCCTAGAGAGAGAAAACAAGGAGAAGGAATCCAGTTAGGGAAGCAGTAGATGGAGAGATTGGAATAAAGTGGGCTCCAGGCATGGGCAGATCTAGAATTTTGAAAGGGGGAGTGCAGATGATGAGTTGCATCATCACATATAAAACAATGCATATTTTTCTCCAGTTAAAAATAAACTAAAAGTTTTACTAATAGGTTAGGGGCCTAAGGCTGCATTTTTCAGTTTAGGATTAAAGCAAAAACAAATATAACTTAATTGGAATGAGTTAAATACAGTATACAGGGCTGTGAAATAGGAGATTCATGAACAGGAGCAGTGAACAGACAGCAGAATTTCAGAACAAAGGATAACCTGATTGGTGGGACATCAAGACCATGAAAAAGAAGAAAGGGTTATTAATACCTATGAAATGAAGAGTTTAGAAGATATCAGGTAGATTATAATGAGCCATGAAGTGAAGTGACTCCCTCAGCACTGCCTGACTAGAAGTGTTGCTGCCATGGCCAGGCAGTTAGTTTTAAACTATGGATGGAGGAGGAATCAAAGGGGGCTGTAGGTACTCCAGTGCACCCCACCCCTGGATCTTCCCTGGCTCTGGGAGAGCCTCAACAATTCAGTGGAAACAGAAGCAGGAATCCTTCCCCACCAACAATCAGATCCTCTTCTTTTTTCATTTGCAAAAAATATCTATTTCTATATACATAAATAAATAGATGTATACCACATTACCTCTGTCCTGGCCATAAATCTATGCATACCACAATACCTCTGTCTTCTACGGCTCACTTGACAGGCCAAAGGCCATACACATTCCTGTCACAATATCCGCACCGCATCCTGCATGCCCATCACCCTTGCCTGTCACAATGGTGCAACCTTGCCCCTAACCCTCCCCTCACATTCCTGTCTACTTCCCAGTCCTTTCAGTCTTTGCTGTCCTCATCTTCTCTTGTTGACTCCGCCCATCTCTGTCATTACCCTTGTCCTTGTCTTCATCATGGCTTTCTTCAGGGGTCCCATCCCTGGACAGTCTGTGCCAATCCACCACATCCTCTGTTACAGATGCTGAAAGGTTTGGGTTCTACCAGAGATTTATTACGTTCTCTTGGGGCCCTGTTTCAGTAGAGACACAGATGTGTCATGAGTTGCACAGTGCTCCTAAGAGATGGCATACTTTGCCTTTACTTCACGTTGCCCCTGTGTATCAGCTCAGTATAGAGATTTGTCATAGCCAACTTATACATCAGAAAATTAAACATTTCAGTGAACCTCAGTGAGAAAGAAATAGGCTGGTGTCTGCTAGCCTGACCGAATACATGGTTTTGCCACGTGCTCCTTTTTGTGCATGTAAGTGAAAGCTAAGGTGATCTTTTATCATGTAAATACGTAACTAGCATGTAGACAAGGTTCTTTGGGCAAATCTGATGTATTTTTTATTAGAGCACCTCACATCGTTGGAAAAATTATTTTTGGCAAGCTTTCGGGTATACCCTTCCTCATTTGAAACAGAAAAAGAGCACACACCAACTGCAGACACTTCCTCTGCCTGATGAAGGGTATTTAAACCTGAAAGCTTGCTAAGAAGAATTTTTCCAACTATTTGAGCTGGCCTAATAAAAGATATCGGATTGACCCAAAGAACCTTGTCTGCCTGTGTCCTTAGACCAACACGGCTACAACCCACACTGCTGTAACTAGCCTGTAAATATGTAATGTAACCCCTTCTTTGCACCTACCCCTTGGCAACTGGAGCCAAGCTAAGCCGACTGTTTATCGGGTGAATATGTAACTAGCATGTAAATATGTAACTCCTTCTTTGCATGTTCTTGTACCTAGCTTGTAAATATGTCACTCCTCTGCATGTTCCCCTTGGCAACTCGAGGGGAGGTGAAGGGGATCGTTTATCACGTCAATATGTAACTATCCCAGAAAGGAACTACCCCTCAGGAAAGGAGACTTCTTTCCCCACCCCCCCACCTCTCCTTACTTGGAGCCAAATCATCTGAGGAAAACTTAACCCTAGCGATCCCAGCGGGCAGCCACCACGAGCCGAGGGCTGAGAGAAGCGCTCAGTGGCTCAGCCAGCTCTGTGGATAATGAATAACCTGACAGATTAATTCAACCATCAATGCGGGGAGCGGGGGGAAACAAAGAGGGCGTCCCTCGTCCTCTCCACATCCCCCCGCTTCCCCAGCGAGGCGGGGCTCCCCGCGCGGCCCGGGGCTGGCCGGGAAAGGGCGCGCGCTGGACCGCCCCGGGTTG